CTGCAAACCTGGAAGTGATGAGAAAGGGTGATCTCCCACTTACTGAGCATGTATTATGTGCCAGTTTTAATATGCAATTCATACCCACTTATATACACCAGTGTTATTTCTCACAACCTCTAAGGTGCATACTATTATCCTCATTTTGCAGATTGAAAACCAAAGCTGACAGAGGTTAAGAAGCTTACTGGAGATTACACCGCCAATTAGGGTAAAGTTAGAATTCAGTCTCAAAAGTGTATGCTTTCATCACACTTTCCCCAATATATGGGGACCAGGTTTAGAGGGTCTCAGGCCCACGAGTGATTTCTAAACTAGAGGGGGCACATACAAACTGGTTCTGGTAAAGCAGTATGGAGGCAGGAGGCGATGAGGGGCTGTTCTCAGGAAAAAAAGGAAAGAATTTGCAAGATATGGTGAAGGCAAAATGGCCAGGATTTGGCAATTAACTGGAGTCTATCATAGCTCTAAAGACCCAAGTCTGGTAACTGAAAAGCTGGTGGTTTGTACCACTGTCAGAAAGAGGGATGCATGTGGGGATGTTGGTCCTAGACATGCAGCATCAGGTGGGGGAGGAATGTCCAGGTGGACACACCCACACCCAGCTGGCATAGCAGATATGGATTTAGAACAGTGGTTCTCAACCTTCTGGCCCTTTAAATACAGTTCCTCCTGTTGTGACCCAACCATAAAATTACTTTCGTTGCTACTTCATAACTGTAATGTTGCTACTGTTATGAATCGTCATGTAAATATCTGATATGCAGGATGGTGTAGGCGACCCCTGTGAAAGGGTTGTTCGACCACCAAGGGGGTCGTGACCCACAGGTTGAGAACCACTGATTTAGAAGGTTGTCAAGGAGAGGAGTGTTGAGAGGTTCAAGAGGCCTGAGGAGCGGACGCCACTTTCAGAGACGGGGAAAGGAACCTGACCTTGCCAAGGGGTCAGAACTGGCCACACAGGAAAGGGCAGAACCAGGATCCGCAGTTTCACCCAACTCAACGGAGAAGAATGTTTCCATAAGGAGAACATAACTCACAGTGTCAACAGCAATAAGAGGATTGGAGGGAAGTGGGAAGAAGAAGGGGCATAGATTTGGGGATTTTAGTGACTACTAGTGACCCTGGGGAGAGCAATATAAAGAGAAGGAACCAGACAAAAAGAGGTTAGGAAGTGCATAGGAGGAAAGGAGAGAAAAGTGTGGAAGCCAGGGGCGGTGAACTGAGTGGAGGGAAGGCTTTTTAAGGTAGTGGCGACATGGATAATAAGTCTTTAGGCTGAGGAGGAAAAACCTGTGAAGAGGGAGCGATCGGTTGGCTAAGGGATTGTGAATGCTGGTGAAAGCAAGGCAAAACAACAAGAGAATGGAATGGAGAACATAGGGGAGGAATTAGGGAGAGATGGCATGTTTTGAGGGAGCCAAATGCTTTGAAAAGGAGCTTTTTCTCTTAGAGCAAGAAGGCAAGGTCATCTCCCAAGAGTTGCGGGGGTGGGGGGGGGTTGTTTGGAGCATAATCACAATGGGAAAGACTGGAGTAGCTAAGGGCGGTATAGACTGGTCCACAGGAAAGGTCTAGAGCAGTGGTTCTCAACCTTGGCTGCACATTAGAATCACCTGGAATCTTTTTAAAATCCTGATTTCTGGGCCTCATCCTCCGGAAATTCTGTTTCTTTGTTATGGGGTTAAGCCACAACATTAGTAACAAAGAAAGAATTTCTGGAGGATGAGGCCCAGAAATCAGGATTTTTAAAAGATTCTCAGGTGATTCTAATGTGCAGCCAAGGTTGAGAACCACTGGCCTAGAAGGAGGTGGAGCAGTTCAGAGCAGCTGCTTCTAATTCATTGCAGCAACAGCTTCTGGGATCTCACTGACCTGTGGGTGGCTCTGGCTTGAGGGCCGATGGGCTCTGGAATAAGGAAGCCTCAGAGCTGGGGCTGGATGAGACAGATAACCGCTGGCCTTGTGGAGTTTCTGTCTTTGTTACCCAGTGCCT